GGCTCATTTTCCTACAAAGCAAATTCCTCACTGGCCTAGAAATATCTGAGGTCTGGTACTGCTCATTGCACAGTCTGCATGGGTCACATCATTAATTATCAGGAAAATCAGAGACTGAAGATGATATGTTGGTTTGGGACCTCTGTGGCAAATGTTATATACTCATCCACCAAGGCAGCAACTGTAAGTAGCTGTTGCACTTGCTTTACTGCCAGTCACAGGAACATTTCACAATTGCCACAAAACTTCCTGCCACTCTATACAGAGGAAGCTTTAACGCTGAAGTAAAAATGATCAGCAAAGATCCAAAGTCATATTTTCTCTCACTCTCCACAAAAACTGCTCCACTGGCTGAGATTTCTCCATACTTTTTGATTTTATTTCAGAATGCAGTCTCTTCTCATTTATTATAAGAGTTAGTACAGCATTCATTTATTGCAAGAATTAGTACAGCATTCATTTGGATTCATTTCACTCCAGTCCTTGTTCTGCACTATTCACATTGCAATCGGCAGAAGTTGGTTCACAACTGAACTCCAAAGAACACGTTGGAACTAGCTAGAAAGAATGGAGTGTTCTTTAAAATGACTTTTGTGTCAGGAGTACCAGGGAAGAAGACCTAGATTTCAATTTAGATTTTATTGTCACGTGCACTTGAGTACAGGAATACAGGAGTACAGTGAAAAGTGCACAAAACTGCTATTCTCTGGCATCATCTTAGTATACAAAAGACAGGATTAAAAACAGAAGCAAAAATGAAAGAAATAGGCAAAGCAAACATTTTGATTACTCCCCACCTCCGCCACTCCTCGCCACCAGGAAAGCAAAGTTCGCAAAGTCCATCCCTCAGTCTGCAAACACTCAGGCGCCCCAGGGTCTCCACACGCCACCGCATCGAGAACACCCCCACCTCTTCCATCAGGTACTCTGGCCCAGCCATGGTCTGGGGCCGTACTGTCTCTGCTGGAACCGTGTTACCATTCCAGATTGCAGGAAGGCTTTTGACAAGGCCTCACATGGTAGACTGGTTCATTCACAAGCTAAGAGCCCATGGGATTCTGGGTAATTTGGCAAATTGGATCCAAATTTGGCTAAATGACAGGGGTTGATGGCCAAAGGCTGTTTTTGTGACTGGAAGCCTGTGTCCAGTGGTGTAACATCGGGTTTGGTCCTTTGCTGCTTTAGTGTTCACTTGTGATCTACACATGAATCAAGGGGTATGATCAGTAAATTCACAGATAGCATGAAAATTGGTGGTGTGATACATAGTGAGGAGGCTAAGCTTTAGACTACAGGATGATATAGACACTTGCCTGATGGGTGGGACAGTGGAAATTTGTATTTAATCCTGAAAAGTTTGATGTAATGCATTTTAGGAAATTAAGAAGTATGGAGGATCAGTGCGATTAAAGTGAATGAAGGAGAAGTGACAACAGGAGCAGTGTCATATCTATGGAGAGGGAAGACTTGGACAGTGGTCAGTGTTGGGAGAGCTGGTTGGACTTGACCTTCTCAAATCCCAAAGATACTAAGTCTGATTGTTATGATGTCATGGGCATTGGTTAACTTATTCAAGCAGTTTGTCATAAAATCACTGCTCGAGTAATTACTCTGATCACCATTTAGAGTTTTTTTAAGCAATTTTTATTGAATGACTTATTGCGCAAGTTATATTTGTGTGTCACACAGCAGCATGCATTGTTCCAGAGTCCCAGGTGGAAATGAAATTGGTCTTTGTCAGTTGTGTGAATCTCACAGTGTATCAGTGGCCAGTGTCATGCTGTGCCAAATTTCCATTCCAATCAAAGTCCATTTGGTAAAGACCAATATCAGCCCCAAATGTATAACTGATACATTGTCTGTCTGTGGGATCCCACAGCTCTGCCCTGTATTGGTGAGAGTTGAGATGGTTGATCTCTTCAAACAGATTCCATGTTGCGAGTGGTGAAAACACATTTGTCCCCGCAGGAGTCTGTTTTCACTTGAATTCTGTTTGTTGTCCCTTCCCTGAAAATGGATAGCTGAATAGAAAGACAGCTTGTATTCATATAGTGTCTTTCACAACCATGGGACATCTCAGTGTGTATTACAGTGAATGAAGAAACTTTGAAACATGGAAAACAGCAGCCAATTTGCACACACCAAGCTTCTACAAACAGTAATGCGATAATGATCAGTAAAATATTGACTGTTGAAATAATGCCAAAGGACCCATAGAGGCTAACTAACAGGTCAAAGGGATCCTCACTTTAAAGTTACATCCAAAGGCAGCACCTTTGACACTGCAGAACTCCCTCAGTAACTCTCTGACAACCTTATGCGTTCAAGGATGTGGATTGTGGTTCAAATTTCCTGATACACATTTTCAGCCTGTGAGGTTTCAGACCGAATCTCTAAACTGCACATTCCCCAGACATCAACAAGACACAACTTCTAAAGAGCACTCCAGCAATTGTTTTTCTCTTTATTCATTCACAGGATCCAGGCATCGCTCTTCAGGAAGCATTAATTGCCCAGAGGGCAGTTCAGAGTCAACCACATTGCTGTGGGTCTGGAGTCACATGTAGGCCAGACCAGGTAAGGGTGGCAGTTTCATTCCCTAAAGGACATTAGTGAACCAGATGGGTTTTTCCAACAATCAACAATGGTTTCATGGTCATCATTAGATTATTATTTCCAAATATTTAATTGAACTCAAATTCCACCACCTGCCATGGTGGGATTCGAACACACCTGGGGCTCTGGATGAACAGTCCAGCGATAATACCACAAAGCCATCACTTCCCCTTAATTGTTTACCTATTTCATGGACCAACCATCATTACAACCTCCCTCTCTGTCACTCCTACACTGAATGAGTGACTGTGCTGGCCTGGAAGGTCACGCAAAGCTGGGCAGAACACCTTTCATGTCATGACGTTACGAGACAAAAAAATTGTCTAGATGTCTGGACATAGTATTAAAGCTATCATCAACAAAGCATTACTGGTACAGAAAGGTTAGATGATGAAGGAAAACCATGGCTTCTGTTTTTGTTTGTTTCAGATATGTGGCATTTGCAGGTTTATTTTTATCTAACTGTTTTCATAAAATAGAATCCCTACAGTGTGGAAACAGGCCCTTTGGCCCCAACAAGTCCACACAGCATCTCACCCAGACCCATTCCCCATGTCTAACCCACCTAATCTACACATCCCTGGACACTACAGGCAATTTAGCATGGCCAATTCACCTAGCCTGCACATCTTTGGACTGTGGGAGGAAACCAGAAGAAACCCACACAGACACAGGGAGAATGTGCAAACCCCACACAGGCAGTGGAGTACCCAAGGGTGGGGTTGAACCCAGGTCCCTGGCGCTGTGAGGCAGCAGTGCTAACCACTGAGCCACCATGCCACCCTCCAAGAGACCCAACACTTACTTTAGTCACTCTCTTACTTTCTAGATTCCGACTGAAGTTCTCGCTGCTTCTTTTTCTATTCTTGCCAATTTACTTTCATAATAAATTTTCTCCCTCTTTATTAGCTTTTTAGTCAAATGCTGCTGGTTTTTAAAATAAATCCCAATCCTGTACACTATCACTTGTTTTTGCTTTTGGGGCCCACTGTGCCAAGCATTAATACACCTTGTACTGAGTGGAATTGGCTCTGTGCGAAACCCACTCTGCGCCAGTTCTGGGTCCCCTTGTTCCTGACGATGGAGCCTAAAAGTTGGATCTTATTTCACCACAAAACATATTTGTCCAATTAGGCTGAGTCAGGTAGAAAATGATTTGAACTGTAAGGTTTGACCTGCAGTCTATTTTGTTCAGAAAGTCTCCCAGATCACTAATTGATTGGCTGTCTACTGAAATTACAAGAGACAGAAAAAACCGTGGATGCTGGAATCCAAGGTAGACAGGAGGCTGGAAGAACACAGCAGGCCAGGCAGCATCTGGAAGAAAGGAGCAGTCAATGTTTTGGATATTACCCTTTGCAGGAAGTCCCAGAAGAAGCCAGTATCTCCAGAAGCTGACAATGGTTTCTGTTGGGTACCTTGGACACTCAGGTGGAGGATCAGAGTGAGGGAGACATGTTATTTGTGCAGGGAAGAGGGCTCGGTGGAGTTGGGGGTCAAGGGAAAAGATGGGTAAGCAGAAGGGGCAGTGGGAAGGCTGTCAGCAGCCCAGAGACCCCCCCAACCTGGGTCAAATCGCTTGGACTTCCACAAATCAAGGACTCGCCTTCCTCCCAACCTCCTCAACAAGCTGACCTGCCTGTACCTGGCTTAGCAAGCTCAGGATCACCTTGTCTGGAGCTGAAGTAATTGCAGTTCAGATGGAATGAGGCCCTTATGTGATCATTAATTCAGTACTACAGGGTGTTGATTTTACGGTGGGATCTCATCACCAGAATTTCACTTTGGAGTTGGTGGGAGAGAGGTGGATATCTTCATTAACTGTCTTCCTAGCACCTTGGCTACCATTTCTCAGGGAGGAAAAGGGGAAATCTTGGCCCTTGCTTCAGTTTCAGAGTGTGAGCACCAGTCACCACAACAAGGACAGATCATCAATCACAAAGGGATCGAGCAAGACTTTGAGGGAGGGGCACATGATGTAGTCATTTAGGAGCCACCTCGCAGACTATGGTAAGGTTCAGGGTAAAACCAATCTTTGATTTAGGTCTTTCAACAAGTGTTAGACCCTTTACTGGTGGAGGCTGTTTCAGGCACCTGCCAGAGAGACCTCTAAAGTCCTAATGTGGGTCAGCTCAGAGTTGCTGACAATTTGATCAGGGAGGCTTGGTCTCTATGTTGGATTTCTTTTGCACCATTATGAGCCTGGAAAAAAAATGTGCAGCAATAGCCAATTGCCTCCATCCCAATATACAGCAGCAACCTTCCCTGACCCAACCCCTTTCATGTACCTGCAGTGGAAAGTATTCACTACCTGCTCCTGAACATGATCAGTGTAAAATATTTAAATATTTGTTAAAAAAAATGATGAATTTAAACATGAAATCTTCCTGTTACTCAACTATGTGCTGGTCTCCTTTATTTAGAATAAATAGGATTTTCCTCCATTTTAAATAGGCCATGTTCTGGGTCAGATTGTGGCAATGTTTCTCTGAGACTCCCTGCCCCTGCGCTGCCAATCAAAGAGTACATTTGGTCAGTCGGTAAAGCCATAGGATCTCCTTCTTTGAGCAGCGACAGGTTATTGAGTTCAATGGGTGCAGAGGTCTTGTGGCTCCTGGCGTCTTCGCCTAGATGTGAAGAGAGATCATGTTTAATGAGGTTCACAAGCAACCAGGGGCAGCTGGGAGATGCCTCATTACATGAAACTTGAGAATGATGACAGAGTTTGATGAGATTATAAGACTGAAACTGCTTACTTTTCACTTCCTGAATTTCAGTCGTGACACCATCACTACAAAAATACAAAGCAAAACATGAATAAACACTGAGACAATATTAAACAGCAGCCCACAGTTCTTTGTTTTGTTAAACAAAAATATGTAGAGCGATGATTATACAAATTTCTCTCTGTCATTTTGTCTCTCTCTCTCACACTCTCTCTCATTGTGTCTCCGTCTCTGTCTCTCTCTCTTCGCTGGCTATCTCCAGAAATGTGAAAGATTTTGAAGGATTCATGGTGGGAGTATGTACTGGGGATGGTGTAAAGAAGGAAGAAAGGGTGCTCTGTCTTAGGGTGGAGGTTAAGAGAAGGCGACAGTGAAAGGGAGTGACTATGGGACAAGTAGCTAAAGAAAAGATTTGTCTAGTAGAATTGTGAATGGCAGGAAGGCAGCTACATGATCGCAACGTAAAGGTATTAACAGTAAAATACAAACGAACAAAAGAAAAACTCCCAAAAATAAAATGAGGCTGGAGGTTAGAGTCTAAAATGTTTAAACTTGAGTTTGAGTCTGAAGGCTGTAAAGTACCTGATGAAAGATAAAGAGTGTGCTTTGAGCTTCATTGAAACACTGTGGCAGGTCATGGACAGATAGTTCAGAGTGGGAGAAAGGTGGAGAATTAAAATGCCAGTCAAATGGGAGCTTGAGGTCATGCTTGTGAATTGAATGAAGGCCTTAGTCTCAAAATGTAGAGGAGACCATCTCATGTGCATCAAATACTTGCATTAAATTGAAAGAAAGAGTGTTTGTGCCCTTAGACCGTGAGAAAGGAGGAGACAAAAGGATTGATGCTACATCTCCTATGCTTGGGTAGAAAGGAAAACTCCATGTGGGAATGACAGATATGTGAACCAGGCATCAAGGAGGAAATAGCCCCTTCAGAATGCTGAATGGAGAGACAGGAAAAGGGACTTTGTCTCACTTATAATAAAACCAGAAAAGTTTTCTAGTCCTCATGCCATCTCACTCCTTCACCCTGCACATATTCCTTATGCCTCAACCATGGCACCTCCAATCATCTGCCATAGCCCCTCATGTCTCCCATCCCAATCTATGTCCCCCACCCAGCTCCCAAGGCCCCTCAAACTCCTCTTGCCAAGTTAAGGTACTTAAATAGTATAGGACCTAATAGCCCTCGTGATAATAGGATATGTAAAAAATAAACCTATAAAAATAGTTGGTCATTTAGTCATAACATTCCAATTTCTTTTAAAAAGACAGTTTTGACTTGAGGATAATGCAAGTGTCAATTATCCAGGCCCTTTAAAACAGCAATAGCAGAAACTGCAAGTACACCTTAAAGACTTCATACGTGGAAATAAAAAATTGTACAGCTGACAGAATACATCGGGATACAAGAGCTGTCAACCAAATAATTTTTTGTCCTGGGCACCGGAGTTCCTCATAATGCATACTGCATACTGAAAGACCTGGACACCTTTAGGCCTAGGCTAGCATGTCACACATTGGGCAACAAGGAGCATGGGAACATCATAAAAACATTAAGAACTAGAAACAGGTGTAGGCCATTCAGCCCCTCGAGTCTGCTCCACCATTCAATACATCATATCTGATCCCATCTCAGCCTCAACACCACTTTTAAAATTTTCAATGCCCCAGCATCCTCCGCACTCTGGGGATAGTGAGTTCCACAGATTCACGACCTTTTGAGAGAAGTAATTTCTCCTCATTTCTGATTTATATCTGATACCCCTTATCCAAAACTATGACCTCTCATTCTGGATTATCCTGCAAAAGGAAACATCCTTTCTACATCTACTTTTAATCTTACATCTACTTTTGATCTACTTAGCGTCTTTTTAATCTTAATTAGATCTCCTCTCATTCTTCTAAACTCCAGACAGTATAGGGCTAAACTGTTCAATCTCTCTTCATAAGAGATCTCCTCTGAACTCCCTCCAATACAACTACATTTATCCTTAAGTAAGGGGATGTATATCGTGCACAATACTCAGGTGTGGTCTCACTAATGCCTTGTACAGTTGCAGTAACACTTTCCTACTCTTATACTCTATTCCTTTAGCAGGCCCAAAAGGCCAAGTGCTTCAAAATGGGAGTAGACGAGTTAGGTGGTTAGATGCTAGAGTAGTTAGATAGTCCAATGGACCTTATTCTGTGTTGTGAACCTCTATGGCTTGAATTCAATACCCGAATGAATATCTGAGCTCATAGCCAAGAATTCATAATGCACCTATTTTCACACACAGGTCCATGAAAATCCTACTCTCTGTGTCTATATGTCTCTCTCAGTCTGTCTGAGACTTTGTTTCTTTGGCTTTCTATGCCTTTGTCAGTAACTCTAACTCTATTTCTCTATAAGATTTCTTGATGAGATACATTTTATCATCTAGATTCAGTGTGGTGAGAGTGTGGAACTCACTACCATAGAGTTGTTAAAGTGAATAGTTGAGATGCTTGAAATGAGAGGTCAGACAAGCTTGGGAGGGAGAAGGCAATGCAGGATTACACTTGTAGATTTTGATGCTGGAAAATGGGCAGAACCTTAAGTGGAGCATAAACACCCATTTGGACTGCTTGAGCTGAATGACCTGTGCCATCTATCCTGTGTGCTCCTATGCAGTTTGGAACTAATGTGAGACACAGTGAAGACCAGCAGCTAAACTGGCACTTTGACTCAAATAGGCTGCGAGGTGTGAGAAGTGAAGATGTCCTAGCTCCCCTGAGTTTGAAGCTGAGAAGTCTTGTTAATAGAATGTAGAGAGGTCACTACCCTGTAACCAACCTGCCCAGGCTGATGTACAGTGATTTAAATAATACAATATTTCAAGGGGGTTGGCGTTTATTAAAATCCCTCCAATGTGGAAGCAGGCCATTTGCCTATTAAGTCCACACTGACCCTCCAAAAAGCACCCCACACAGACCTACCCCATGTTCCCCATGGCTAATACACCTAGCCTGCACATCTTTTGACTGTGGCAGGAAACCAGAGCACCTGGAGAAAACACAGGGAGAACGTGCAAAGTCTACACAGACAGTCACTTGAGGATGGTATTGAACCTGGGTCCCTGGCACTGTGAGGCAGCAGTGCTAACCACTGAGCCACCGTGCCACCCTATAAGAGTAGGGATGTCTGACTGCAACTGTACAAGGTGCTGCTGAGACCACATCTGGGAGCAGTTTTGATCCCCTTATTTAAGAAAAGATATCATATCATTGGAGGCAGCTCAGAAGAGATTCATTGGATGATCCCAATATGGAGGGATTGTCTTATGATCAAAGGCAAAACAAGTTGGGACTCTACTCACTGGAGTTTTTAAAACAGAGAGGTGATCTTATTGAAATGTATAGGATTCTTAAAGGGCTTGACAGGGTAAATGCTGAGAGGATGTTGTCCCTCATGGAAGAGTCTAGGATCAGAGGGCACAGTCTCAGAATAAAGGGACACCAAACGAAGACTGAATTGAGGTGGAATTTTTTCTCTCAGAGGGTTTGGAACTGTTGGTCACGGACTGCTGTGGGGGTAGATTCCTTATGCATATCTGAGGCGGATATAATAGATTCTTGATCAGTTGAGGAATCAAGGGTTATTGGGGAAGAGAAGGAAAGTGGATGTGAGGAATGTCGGATCAGCCATGATCCTATTGCATGGTGCAGCAGGCTCAAGGACAAAAAGGCCTACTCCTGTTCCTATTTGTTATGGTCTTATAGGAGGGTCAAAGTGGAGAAGTTCCCATCTTCCAGCATGGGCTCCCACACAATATAAACTATTTTCTCATCCTCCATTCTCCATAAACTTCCCTGTTGTCAGTATTGATTGATGCTGAAGGATATGGCTGTCTGTTTGTTTACCCTTTAACTGCTGGTTCTTTGATCAAACAGTACACATGCTCTGTGGAGGCAGAGATTGAGTGGATTTCCTCCTGCCCTTTGTTAGGCCTTGGCTGGCTTGGTGGTGCTGGAACTTCTGTCACTGAGTAGGCAACATGCTCATTTTCATCTGCCCATTCCCTTCTGGGAACTACCGAGTATGCGACGCCTAGACAGAAGAACAGGAACGCAATGCATGATTTCAGTTTCAACTCTGTAAAAAACAGATTTGATAGGGCTGGAGAGTAATTCAAGTTACTTACATTCATTTCCCTGTGTTAGTTGAGCACTATCATTGCTACAGTTATTAAAAGAAGAAAAGAAGCTGTAAATATTTCATTAAATGAGCAGATGTATACAACAAGTTTGCCCAAGAACTGAGAAAAGTCCATTCATACCTCAATCCTGTTGCTGAGTGTTCCTCATAAGACATGTGTAAGATTGAAAAGACAAAGTTAAAAATTGCTGTGAACAATTTTCCAGATTTAAATTCAACAACTTAAACCTCATACTTACCTTTGGCCATTTGTTTTTTCTAATCATTAAGTAAACCCCAACAACGCAAATTGGTACAAACACACAGACTAGGGCTATGATCATAATGATTAGATCTGCAGAGAAGAAGCAGCATTAATATGGGAAGAAAACATACTTTTAAACCACAATTTATGGAATTATCAAGCTATGGATTAAATTCTGTAGCTATAACTCAAGTATGCATAACTTCAATTGTTTAAGACCCTAAGTGAATCTTTGTAACCCTGGCTTTTATGTTTACCTGTAGCTGCATGAAAATGTACTAGTCAAGTTAAAACCTGTACTAACCTCTAAGCTTTTGGGATGTGTGAGAACTTCGTTCTTTAGGAATGGATCTAATGCCTGATAGCAAACACCAATGACAAATCGATTATGTGTCACTGGTCAATTCGATCTAATTGTCTGTAAAGGTTGAAGCCACTTGGCTATTTCAGTACACGAAAACACTGTAGGTGTTTACCAAAACATAAGGAAGTTTGTTCTGAGAAGGAGATATATTGGCCAAGCATATGAGCCCAACTGCATTGCTATTTGAATTTCAGACAACTTAGAAATAAAGAGGAAGTCATACACAATTGAAAAGGTGAGTGAATTAAATGTGATATAAAACAAAGTACAAACACAATGGGTGGAATTTTATGAGGGCCTGAGTGACAATCATGAGGTTGTGACAGAGTCATGTAAAAAGTCCGGCAGGGTCTGTCTTGATGTCAGGAGCAAATTGTAGCATCTTTCATGCAATATGCTGAATGGTGAAGTAGCAGCAAGTTGTCAATGAAAGGGGGATTATAGCTTGTAAAGCACCTTATTAATGATACAACTCTCTTCATTAATATCCAGATTCCCATTGACCGAATGTGCCAAACAAGCTGGACATTGAGAATTCTCACATGGAAATCAGAGTGGGTACCTGGCCAATTCAGCTCGCTGCTTACTCCAAAGGACCTCTGTGTTGGACACCAGGCACCAATGTGACAGCACATGATCTATGGGCACGGCCACACAAACTGCTCATCCGCAGACATTGGTATCTGACATGTACCAGTCTCTAAGAAAATTCCTCATAGAAAATCTCTGATGCACTTACCGGACATTTCTGTACTTCAGTGCTGCACCTCACGGTGTGTCAGTAGCTCTCACTGAAATCCTGTAGCAAGGACACCTTATGCTTAGGGACACACATCCAGCTCATGGACTGGACAATGTGATAACTCCAGGCTCTTTACCCACTGTCATAGCACTCACTCATTCTGCGTCAACCTGGATGCCCTCAGCATCACTGCCTCTCATTTTCTTAGTGCACCTCAACCCCAATGATAGGCTCACAGTTTTGCCATGCTGTTTAGCACAGACACAAAGCCAAGAAGCTTCTCATGATGCCCAGCAGCTTTCAGTCAAGTGGAGGGAGATAGCCTTCACTCAGGGACTATCGGCACGAACAGCCAAGGGCAAACCCCAATACCAGTACAGGGGCTTAGACACGGTCAGGGAGATCATGGTCAGGAGGGGCATGCAGTTGATTATTGGGCAGCCCACCACTCTTCTTGACCCTTTCTGCCCTACTGTGGGCTGTTTCGCTCCAGGAATGAGAGACAGGCAGCTATTAGAGGAGATGGAAGTGAGTGGCACAGCTATTACAGTTGGTCCAGTTGGGGAGGTGTCCCCAAGCAAGAGAGTAGGCAGCACAGAGGGCATGCAGGAGTTAAAGATGTTGGGGTTAGGGTGGGTGACAGCGAGTGTGGAAAGATGTTGCAGGCAATAGTGAGAGTGTTAAAGCATGAGCCTTGATGGGAGCTGGGTGCAGTAGCAGATTGAGAGTAAGTCTGAAGTATCAGAGAGAAGGTGATGGCATTTACCTTGGTGGACTGGAGAACGTCATTAGTCTTCTTTCTGCAATAACTGGGCATTCCTCCAGATGGCTGAGACTGCTTTAACTCGGTGGCAATCTCAGACCAGGCTGGAAGGAGTGGTGATGGGGCCTAATGTGTGCTCCTGGGAAAGAGGAAGTCCTCTCCTGCGCCACCCTGCACAGCAGCACCTCAAGTTTCCTCCCCACAAAGCTGGGGGACTGATTTCCCCCTTTCTGCCATGTCTGGGGCAAATATCAGGAACGATGCAGAGCAGCTCCAGACTGACAGAGTTTGTCTTGGTGCACAACTGTCTTTTAAAGATGGCACTGGCACTAGGAATGCTGGTAATTTATGGGATATCCCAACAGTAGTGAGTTGTTCCAAGAATGATTTGTAGCAAGGTGGGGATCAAATCAGATCAGAGGAACAGGAATAGGGTAGATAGTTAATGATGAGAGTTTAGTAATATACAGCAAGAAATTTCAGTAGGCCATCTAGCAAAAATGTCTTTCAAAAAACTCAACAAGACCGGGCACTTGGACAAAAATAAAGTAAGACTCAGTCTAATGTGTTAACGCCTGGAATTAAATGTGAATAATTAATTTGTATTTAACAATATTATGGGAACACTTTACGAAATAGTAATGTCTCCCCAGGGCTCCTGAATGAAATATAATGATAAATACCGAGACAGCACACTTAGGATAAAAGATAGAATTCATTAAAAATGGCCCAACCCTAAAAGAAATTGGAATAACTAACCTCAGGTGTAGCTCAAATATTGTCACTACTGTGATAAAATATAGACTATCAATTTCCAAATTCTGTCATCTGACGTTAATACCTGGCAATTTCTAAAACTGCAATAGTTTTAGGAAGTAAAAGCACTAACTGAAAATGGTCAAGTAATCAGCTGTCCACAGGCTGGGCCATGCTACATGAGAAAATTTGTGAAATAAACAAATGATCAGTCTGAGGTTGTTGACTTGCTCATCGAGCTGGCTTGTTTCTGTTCAGGCGTTTCATCACCATGCTTGGTGACATCATCAGTGGAGCCTCCGATGAAGCGATGTTATTCTACTCTGCTTGGAATTTATACTGTCCGGTCCGTTATGGTGAGTACTGTCATTTCTGGTTTTGATCTGTATGAGTTTGTATATTGGGTCCAATTCTATATGTTTGTTGATTGAAGTATGGGTGGAGAACCATGCCTCTAGGAATTCCCGTGTGTTTCTATGTTTGGCTTGGGCTACTATGGTTACCTTGTCCCAGTTAAACTGATGGCTTTCATCGTCCGAGTGTATAGATATTAAGGAGAGTTCGTTGTGCCATTTTGCTGCTAGCTGATGTACGTGCATTCTGATGGCTAGTTTCCTTCCTGTCTGTCCGATGTAATGTTTGTGGCAGTCGTTGCATGGTATTTTGTAAACCACGTTGGTTCTGCATGTTGTGGGAATGACGCCTTTAAACCTTGTAAGTGGTTGTCGTAGAGTGGCTGTGGGCTTGTGGCCACCATGATGCCTGGTGGTCTTAGGAGTCTTGCTAACAACAAACTAGCTGTCCAGCCAACTGAGCTAACGCACCCCCAGATCAATGCCCACTCAAAAGCTCTCTATACCACTTTGCAGCTTCTTTATCATTAACAGGTTGATAGTGAGCAGGAATCATATTGGACCAGAAGAATTTTAATTCAATTACAGCAACATCATGGAGATTTTGGCGCGAATTGCATTATCTCCACCACCCTCAGTCTTGAGAATAAGTGATGAGGAAATATAACAATCGACTGAAAGAGCTGGGTACAGAATATATTACTCAATCAAATTCTTAGAACATCATCACAACTGGGTGTTTAGGAAATGCCACAAGTAACAATTAGAAAGAATGAAGGATTAGAGGATTAGAGGGTAAATTCCCTGATTTGAATGGTACAAAAAGCCTTTGTTGTTTCAAATGACAATGACTGCAATGGAAAAAGCTGAGTCAGTCCTTAGAAAGGAGATGTTACAAGAACATATGGTGTTGTTTATTTGGAACAGAGTGGGAACAGCTTAAATTGGCCAAAGATAATCAAACAACTCCAAACAATGTCAGTATGCTGTAGTAAAGGAGGAAAGGAAAAGGACATCTCATGTATGTAAAAGTAATGTTAGCAGTAAGAATGCGGATTGGGATTATTTTATAGTGGAACCCATTGGGATGTTGAAATAGAATATGTATGTATCCTTTGCAGACCCTCAACAAACTGAACTAAATGAGGTATTGCCTGACTGTTGAGTGTTGTTCGGAAAGAGAAGGGTTTACATACCTCAGTGTGATGCTAGGAAGCCAGGGAAGGTAACTTGAGGTTTTGTAGGAGCTAAGAAACCACATGTGACATGGCCATTCAGAAATAAGGGAAAGACCATGACAAGTACATGTATCTCAAGGTGGGATCTTACTGTGTTAGCACTGACCTCCATAAAATGTGGAATGAAGAAGACTTATACAAGATTCAAAGATTCACCTGTTGCTTTAAGTCAGCACAGATCACCTCAATAGGGAATCATGTTTTGTTCCGTTTACCAATCCATAACATTACTAAGCTTTTTAAAGCAACAGAAAATGGTCTTTTCTATTGCAAAAGATGCAATAGAGAAGGGAAATACAAGTAGAAGAAACTTTCTTCTGTATTTTAACCCCTTGTTGTCCCTGTCCCAGGAGTGTCTACTTAAGAACAAGAACATAAGAACCAGGAGCAGGAGTAGGCCATCTGGCCCTTTGAACCTGCTCTGCTATTCAATAAGATCATGGCTGATCTTTTCATGGCCTCAGTTTCCCTCACCTACCCTCTCACCATAACTTTAATTCCTTTACTGTTTAAAAATGATCTAAGCTATAAAAACATTCAATGAGGAAGCTGCAATTACTTCACTGGGCAGGGAATTCCACAGATTCACAACCCTTTTGGGGAAGAAGTTCCTCCTCAATTCAGTCCTAAATCTGCTCCTCCTAATTTTGAGGCTATGTCCCCTGGTTCTAGTTTCACCTGCCAGTGGAAACAACTTCCCTGCTTCTACCTTACCTATTCCCTTCATATTTTTGTGTGTTTCTATAAGATCCCCCCTCATTCTTCTAAATTCCAATGAATATAATCCCTGTCTACACAGTCTCTCCTCATTATGGGGACAGAGCTGAGGGGACTTTAAGTTTACTTTGAGTTCAAATGAGTAGAGGAAAGTTTACTCTGTATTTTAACCCCTGGTAGTCACAATCCTAAGAGAGTTTGATGGGGGTGGAGTTGTGGAAGCGCCATTTTCATTTTTAAAATGTTGAAGGAACATTATTTTGAGTTTAAAAGAGTCGAGGGACCTTTGATTTCTAAAAATTCAAGGAAACTTTACTTTTCTGTTTACAAAGATTGGAGAAGGGAAATAGGGGAAGATCATGGAGCGGAAAAAATAAACAAGGAAATACACATGCTGGAAATCAGAAACAGAAACAGAAATTGCTGGGAAAATTCAGCATGTTTGACAGCATCTGTGGGAAGAAAGCTGAGTCAAGGTTTTGTGTTTGATGACCCTTCTTCAGAACATTAGAATCTGGAATAATACATGGTGAAGGAAGGAAATGAAACCTAATTGTAGCAGGTACAAACTCTACAAACCTACAATTTCTGATGTCAAATTATTCATATTCAAGATTGTTGAACTTAATTTTCCTGTTTGTATGAGCTAGTCTGCTGGCCATGGCAAATATTCCAGATGTTGAGGAGTCTGAGAGTTCATTTCTCCAGATTTCACTCCAGGTTTCCTGGGACTAATGGTTAACAAATGAAATTGAACCAACTTACATCAGGTGCAAACCAACCAACAGATCCCTTAGTGTGAATTATTGTTGATGTTAAATGATTCATATTTCAAACTGTCAGACTTACATTTCTTCCTTGGGCGAAGTCCATTGCTTTCTATTGTGCGAGCTCCACTGCTGGTCACTACAGATGTTCCAGATGCTGAGGTGGGGCTGTGTGTAGATTCCATGCTTGACTCTGTCACAGTGAGGGAGATGTTTGCTGCAATTTTCCAGATAGGTTTCCCTGCCTCCATACCGTGTAAAACACAGAGATATCTGCCACCGTCCGTCACCTCCAGTGACCGAATAGTAAGGTTGAGAAACTGTATTTTATCAGTCAGATTGGGTGAAGTGTGGTTAAAGATTCTTTGTGCTGACTTGCCATCCACACAGCAGCGTAGGTTAGAATATACTGCATATTCTGCCGTATGAATAGAGGACAGACACTTGTTTTCTGATGTGATCCAAAGTAGAGTGAAGGGATGGGATTTAACAAGTTCAAATTGGCAGGTTAAAGTCACATTGTCTCTCTCTGACACAGTCAGCGATGAGGGGTTTTTGTCAGTAGAAAATGTTTCATCAGATTCTAGAAACAACATTGAAAATATGTCACTTTAACAATCTCCAAAGTAGAACTTAGTGAAATAATCATGTTAACTGCATGCACTGCGTTACTCCATATACCTGGGCTGTTACCTCCTCAACAGAATGTCCAGCAAAACCAGCCCCTCGGAAAGCTGTCTCTCATGACTCTATTTGTTTATACACACAGTAATCTCATCTTAATAAAGACTCTAATCTTGTCCAATGGCTGCTCCCTGTCCTAAAACATTCCAAAATCTAACCTTGTAGTTCTCAAATATTCCTCCTGTAATCACTTCCCATTTTCTCCTCTTCCCCAGTTCACATACCACTCAGATTTACCACCAAGAACAAGTGGTGGTCTTCACATCCAGGCCCTGTGAGTGTGATCCAGGATGGACAGATCGATGATGCTCCTCCAATGGAATTCTGAACTGTGCATGTAAAAACTGTTGAGTCATTTGGCTTCACTTTGAATGTCAGAGAATTAGATTCCATTTCATCTTTGGTCAATTTGCATTGTCTACATTGCTGCTCACTTTTCTTAAGTTTGTCTTTTTCACAATCACCATTTTTATCCACTTTTCTGTTACACGTCATGTTCAAAAATTCTGAACTGAGGTCATTGGTACTGCACAAGATTCCAGCCTCCCCAGCACCAATGGATAGGTTACAGAGTAGAGTGGGAATATCCTCCGATTGGGTATAAAGATAGATGGATCCTGCAGGAAAATGTGAGAATCAAGAGAAATAAAATACATTTTATTCAGAAAAAAATATTGAACGTGCAATTAAAATCACACTGTAAATTAAGGAAATGTAAATGTTTTTACATCACACATTGACTTGTTATGGATGGTTATTGTTATTCCTTTCGCAAGTCTTTGGAATGTAAAGCTATCTGATTGACATCCAATTACTGAGAGCAATAGAGAAAGCAACATTTTATTAACAGCATCCAATTATAATGCAGCCTCAATAACCTCAAACCACGAAAGACAATTACTTGATGGAAATGTTGAATGTTCCTAATCCGGTTGAGACCCGAGTGACCACAGCCATAAATAGCCAAAATGCAGCAGAGAAAATTTCACCTGAAATTGCCTGAGCCCTGAGTTCCTCACTAGCGACTGTTTGAGAACATGCTGGACTCACTGAAAACAGCCCCACTAACAGGAAATAAAACTGCCTCTCCCAGCTACACTTTCCACAACCTGGCTCAGTCAAACCTATGGACGAGTTCGGCCATTCATCTCCAGACTTGTCAAAGTTATCAGCAGTAGAAGAAAATTAAGGGGTAAAAGGGATGGAGGAACTTAAAACAATCACTATCCTAGTGAAAAAGTAATGGGAAAACTGATGGGACTAACTGCATCCTTGTGTCTTGATGGAAAGAAAGTTTAGAAAGAAAGAGGAAGGATATACTTTTAGACTTAGCAAGCAGGCTAGAATTGAGTTTTACTAGGGATAAGAGGAAAGCTAAAATTGTAAAGAAGTTATACCAGAAAAGCAGGAAAGTGTAGTGGAATTAGAAAAAATTAAATTGCAAATAAGACAATTGGATTTAGAAAGGAAAAAGGAGAGAGAAAAATGAACATTTGAGTTGGAAAAGATGAAGTTGGAACTTGAAGCAAAAAGACTTCAAATGACAGAGGTAAAAGTACAAGATAGAAGTGATGATGAGCAAATCCATCGTTGCCAACAGCCTGGTAGGGATATATACAAATATGTCCAAGCCTTACCAAAATCGGATGAAAAAGATGTTAAAGCCTTTTTTATTTCCTTTGAGAAATTGGCCAAACAGATGAACTGGCCAGAGACTACGTGGATAATTTAGACCAAGTTGGTAGGCAGGGCTAGTGAGGTATTTGCAGTGCAGTCAGAGGAGGTGTCAGGAGACTATGAAGGAGTGAAACAGGCTATTTTGAGTGTCTACAAATTTGTACCAGAAGCATTTGGGCAACGGTTCAGAAATATAAGGAAGGAATCAGGTCAGACTTATGTCAGGTTTTAAAGAATTAAACGTAGCAACTTCGATAGATGGGTGAGAGCATTAAAGAAAGAAAATGCATATGGGGATCTTAGAGAGATTATTCTGCTGGAGGAGTTTAAAAACTCACTTCCAGAGATGATAAGAACTCATGTTCAGGAACAGAAATTCCAAACAGTAAGAAGAGCAGCAGAGATGGCAGATGAATATGCATTAGTGCATAAATCGAAGTTTAGCTTCTGAGAGCAATTTCATTCCACGTGGGATAGAGATTGGGAAAAAGGGAGATCCTTCAATGAAAATCAAAAAGTAGATCACCCTGGGAGCAGTTCACCACAGGTGAAAAAAGAAACCCAAGAGGGTGAAAAAGAAGTGAAAGTCTTCAGGTGTCCCTTCTGTAATAGAGGGGGACACACAAAGTGACAGTGCTGGTGGATTAAGAGAGACAAATGGGCTGTATCAAGTGTCATGTTTAAAGTCATGCCCTTTGGAATAAAGAATGCTCCAGCCACATTTGAAAGAATTATGAACAGAGTTGTGGCAGGATTGTGCCATCTATATAGGTGGTTTAATGACCTTTAGCCATTTGTGGCCAGATCACATGGTGCATTTAGCAGAGCTCTTTGAGAGACTACAGAAGGCAAAGTTGGTCATAAATTTGACAAAGACAGAACTTGCGAAGGCAGAAGTCACATTCTTAGGACACAACATCGGACATGGAAGGATGACCCAGAGGAACGTGAAAACAATCCATTGAGGAATTTCCAAGATCATCCTCGAAGAAGGAGGTGCTACGCTTTTTGGGACTGAGTGGATTCTACCAGAAATTTGTACCAAACATTAGTCGCGTGGTGACATGCTGACGAATTTGTTAAAGGACAATACAAAATTTCAGTGGACAGAACAATGCCAGGAGGCATTTGAGAATTTAAAAGCCATGTTAACCACTACACCAGTTTTAACCACAGCAAATTTCTTGAAACACTTTAAAGTTGCTATCGATGCAAGCGATGTAGGCACTGGAGCTGTGCTGTTACAGGAGGATGATGGCAGAATTGAAAGGCCAATTGGTTATTTTTCAAAGAAACTCAATACCCACCGGAGAAAATATTCAACTGTTGAAAAGGAGTTATTGAGTTTGGTACTAGCCTTACAACATTTTAATGGTTATGTGGCAAACAATATTTCGGAGATGCTGTGTACACTGATCACAACACTTTGACATTTTTGTAAAGATTTAAAGACAAGAACACCAGGCTATTTTGTAGGAGTCTTATGTTACAAGCAATTGCACATGTTGGGAGTTGTGAAACTATTATTGTGGATGTGTTATTGCAGGTTTAAAAGAAGAATTTGTGTATAAGATAGACACGGTAGTGTTCAATATTATATATGTATAGGGAATTAGTATGAAATGTGTAACTCTAGATTATTGACTTATGTTATCTAGTAATAATGACATTAAGATTTAGAGAAAAAAATGAAGCCATCTTTTTATAATGATCATTCATTTTTTCTGAAGGGGTGTGGTGTTGCGAAGTTGGGTATACTACTTGTGAATTGGAAGGCAGGATGTTAGAATTTGTTTGTAAAATGATGGGGGAAGAGTGTGTGGTCCCTTTAAAGGATTTTTTTTAGGCTCGGAGATTAAAAAAAGTCTGCAGGCAGCAGCAGATGCGCAGAGAGTTCTTGAAATTGAAACATTGTATTAAAAGGCTATACTTAGCAGGCAAAGCAGTATTTTTACCAAAACAACAGGTATTCGAATTTAGCCAATTAATTTAAACCAGGCCCTGGATACCAAAGCCCAAGTAAATTTAAATCTAATGGTTTTGACAACCTCAGACCAGTCCTATTATAAGAAATTAAAGGTCATCAAGGGGATAAAAGAACAGGGCAAATGAAAATCGGTGTTGGAGAGGTTGTTGACTTGCTCGCCCAGCTGACTTGTTCTTGTTCAGGCATTTCGTCACCATGCTAGGTGACATCATCAATGGAGCCTCTGATGAAGCTTGGTGAAGATTTCCCATTCTTGGGCAATTTTTAGCATGTTACGCCCGTAGGTGTTTAAAGTTTTGGCAAAGATCTGTAGATCGGGTTGTGGGTGAGGTTGTTGACATGCTCGCCGAGCTGGCTTGTTCTCATTCAGACATTTCGGAGGCTCCACTGATGATGTCACCTAGCATGGTGACAAAATGTCTGAATGAGAACAAGCCAGCTCGACGAGCAAGTCAACAACCACATAGACCTTTGCTAAAACTTTAAATCAATGTGAGATCAAAACAGCATCTCTTACGAGAACAGCTCTCAACAGCCATCACCTCTAAAGAAAGAGAAAATCACTGACTTTCACAGAAATCTCTAAGATATCAGAGTAAGCACCATCTAAATAAAGGTACTATGGCACTCGTAGCTAATATTCCTGACACACAATTTCGACAGACGAAGGCGTTCCTGACTGGAGGACAGCAGAGAAGGCAAAGAATATTTTGGAAAACTTATTTTAGCTGTAATTTTGAGAGATGAAGCTTTAATTTTTTCTCATTAATTTGCTTTACATAAGTGGGATTTTGTTTTATTTGGGATTAGTTAGTAGTTAAGGGGGAATTGTTCAGTTTGTTAGTAGTTCTGTTAATTTGTTTACTGTCGGAGTTAGATAAATAAAATTGTTACTTGTTGATTATAAAGTGAGTATCAGGGATTTCTTTCATTTAACCACAACTTTAATAGATTAAGAGGCGAGGCAAGCTTCTGTGGGTGTTTCGGGTTTAGTTATCAGAAAGGTGTCGACCATTCCTTCGTGACAGTGGCTACAGAGGATACGTTGGTTGTAATGTCCCCAAAACTTGCGGGATTCTGCAAAGTTCCTGGCAGATTGGAAATTACAAATGTAACCCAACACCTCTACTCAAGAACAGTTGTAGCCACAAAGCTGGAAATAATAGGTCAGTTAGCCCAACATCTGGCATTAGGAAAGGACTGTTCCAATTCACAAGTGATCTGCTATGACCTCTTACAACAGACCCAAGGAGCTGAATGACCTACTTCAGTTACTGATTCCTTCAAGAGTTTACTGCCTGATTCCTACTTGTTCTTGTCAAAACAGAACATTTCCCAGCTCAGAAAATCATGATCTAGACTGAACTTCAAAAGGACATCCCGTCCACCACCAGATGTTGCACTATCCCCTTCCCAAGTATCGATGGCCTCCATTCCTACCTCACCCTCAGTGCTGCTCAAACCTCCATTCCTATCTCACCCTCAGTGCTGCTCAAACCTCCATTCCTACCTCACCCTCAGTGCTGCTCAAACCTCCATTCCTACGTCACCCTCAGTGGTGTTGTTACCTCCATTCCTACCTCACCCTCAGTACAGTCAGTTCCACTATAACGCGTATCTCTTCAACATGAATTAGCTTTAATGCAACTGAAGAATTTAGACCGCTATTTGTAGAATGTGAACTTTCCTTATCTCTATTGGTTATAACACAATTCCGGCCCCATTAGTTTAAATGGCGCGGCTATTGTGCGATTTTCTTATAGCGTGAGATTACATGAGAACGGAACTATCACGTCATATCAGAACTGATTGTACTGCTGGAACTTATCACAATTTAATATCCTTGACAACTCACATTTTCTGGATTTCACAGAACACAGCCTTCCAAAACCAGAACCATCTCCCACATTCTACCCTATAATGGTATCCAGCCCTGCAAACACTCCTGTCTCTTCCCCTTAAGCACTTAGTTAAATTTTTCTTGACATCCCTCAGACACCTACACAGAGTAACAGTCAGGGTCAGCTATTCTCAGCTGCTCATCAATGATCTTCCCTCCATCCTAGAGCTGGTGTTGATCAATAATTTCAGTATTTGGCTCATTTATAATCTTTCAGATACTGAACCGATCTGTGCCCAGATACAGTGAGACCCTGATAATATCCAGCATTAAGCTGATAAGTAGCAAGTGACATTTGATACCTCAACTGACAGATTTATTCTTTTAAGAGATGACATTAGACTTAACCACCTCCTTTTAGCATTCAAAGGCATTACCATGGTCAAAGCCCCAGCATCAATAGCCAGGGAGGTGATCCTTGATCTGAAACAAAACTGAATCAGTCACATAACACTGCAGTTCCTTGAGCAGGTTAGAGACTTCCACTTTTCCAAAGACATCTTCTTAGGGCACAGGTCTGGCTTATAATGGAATACTCTCCACTTGCCTGGGTGCATGCAGATGCCATAAAGAAGCTCATCACTATCCGAGATAAATCCATTGATTGATACCCTGTCCACTAACCGAAACATTCTTTGCACCATACTGTGGCTGCAGTTTGCATTATCAGACAGCAAGATAGCAACTCACCAAGCTTCCTTGCGACCTCTATTTCCAAGAAAGACACATGCAGCAAATGTAGGGTGCAACCACCAAGTTCCCCTCACCAAGTCATAAACCATTGTAAATTTGACATAAATCATTTGGTTTCTGCAAGGTCACTGAGTCTAAACCTGAAACTGCTGACCTGAATCTGGGGAAAGCTCACACTACTGAAATTGTAGCAATTCTAGAGGAAGGTCCACCTGAAGATCTTTGATATTGTAAGAGGCACTACATAAATGTAAGCATTCCTTTTTGACTTATATGTAGCAGGTTTCTGATCAGCCTATGTTTTTGAATGCTCCTCTCCAGCTGGTTAGATGTTAAAATGTGATGGTGAAGGTACCACGAGCTCTGAATGGTTGCTTTGAGTTCCCAAAAAGAGCATTCCTAAAATGACTAACATGGATTTGCTTTTGCAAAGTGAACAGCTACCTACACACCAGCCCTTGCTGCAATGATGCTGACAAATCATAACTGAAGACCCCAAACCAAGCTCAATTAGAAATCGAACATCAACCATATTGTACTTATAGTCAGAGATAATACCATTTGTCATTTGAGGATTAGGCTGTCTGCACAAAACCCCTCTGAACCCATATGTTCAATGCCTACAAACTGTTACTACAAACTGCAATGGGTTAACCAGCACTTTAGGTGGATGCTGTATAATGCAAATCATCTGCATGTGGAATACACAGCTCAGGGATGGGCCATTCAGTCTTCCTGGTCCTTGACAACAGAAATGTGCCACATGGAGTTCCTCCCAGCCCTGTTCATCAAACTCTATCTGCATATCCTTCTAACTCATCTCAATCTTTAAGAATTACATTCTTACGTAGAGGAATCATTCTTCAGTCAGAGCATTTGGGATGGGATCAGCTTGCCTCTAGAACTATAAAAATAGGAACAGGAGTGACCTCAACTGAGTGCTGCAGACTGGCACGTTCCACGGTCCAGGACTACACGCTGTGAGACACATTAAAGCTTGGGGCAGCCGTTGGCAAGGCACAATGGAGAAAGACCACCTGCTAAGGCCTTTCTGCCAAAATACAATGGGGGTCTGTTCAGGTATCAGACCCTCCCAGTGCCTCAATGTATGTAAATGTAGTCTTGTACAAGTAACAAATGCTTACTAGTTTGTTTGCTCTCCGTATGTAAAGACTGCACAGAACCAAACTGCTCGAGGGGCTATGGATGTATACAAAGATATTTTATGAATAAAGTACATTTTTGAAATAAAAAAAGAGTACGCCATTCAGCCCTTCGAGCCAGCTCTGTCAATGCCCTGTTCCCACTTTTCCTCCTTATCCTTTGAGCCCGTTAGCCCAACTCCTTGAAAAAACTGTTCTCACCTCAATTGATTTCTGTGTCAGACAATCCCACAGGCTCACCACTCTCTGGGTGCAGAAATTTCTCCTATCTCAATCCTAAATGGCCCACCCCATATGCTTAAACTGTGACCCCTAGTTCTGGACACACCGGTCATCAAGGAAATCTTTCCTCCATTTATCAAGCTTAGTCCTGTTAGAACTTTATAGGATTCTGCCCTCATTCTTCTGAATTCCAGTCAATATAGTCCTAACTGATCCAGTCTGTCTTTATAGATCAGTCCTGTTAACCCAGGAATCAGTCTGGCAAACTTTTGTTGCACTCGCTCAAAAGTCAGAATATCCCTTCTCTGATAAAGAGACCAAAAAAACAATATTCCGCGTGTGGTCTCACCAAAGCCCCGTACAAGAGCAGCAAATCCTCATATGAGAATTTAATGCAGTTGTCTTTATACTGTTTTAACAAAGCGTTCAATAAAAGACAGTCCCAGTACTAAAGGAAACCATTTGTTCTATTATGCAGTACTGGTTGCTTACAGTCAAATCCATTGCTCCCAAGTTCCTGCATCATCCTCTAAACCAAATGCTTATTTAGCTTTTAGTTAAAACACGCCAACTTATGTCTATATATAGGTTGATATATTAAGAAATGTATGCATAAAATATGCTGCTACCCAGCCTGCAAAATCCTCTCTGTAAAGAACTTCATTCTAATTTCTTTTCACTCGCCTCATGCAAATTTAAAACTGATAATCAAAGATTCATCATAATCCCATAAGTCATGGTTGGTGAATACATTTTTTAAAAGGTACAGCAAGGACTGTGACGTGCCCTCATTAAACATCCAAACAATAACAGCACCACTGGGAATTGACCATGTTTGCATTTCTGTATTGAGATACAGATAGAAACTTATATTTCCAGATAAAGTTTAATCCTTACCAGTAACTTGTTGGAGCAGAACAAAAAGGCTGAACAGCAATGCAGCGAGTGCCATTTCAGGCTCCTGGTCTATTACTAAAGAAGCTCATCAGTTGTTTCACAATTCCCTTCTGCTCTGTGTGGAAAAAAAAAGAGAAGTTTGCCTTTAAGGGGTAGAAGAAAAAAAAAACTGCTTCCTATTTCTCAATTCAGGTGGAATCTGCAAGCTAGCATTTTTTAAAAATGTATTCACGGTATGTGGGGGTTGCTGGCCTGGCTATGCCTTGCTTACCTCTAATTGTCCTAGAGGTGAAATGCCTTCTTGAACTATTTGTTGTAGGGATTGCTCACAAGGCTGATGGAGGGAAACATAAACAGGAATTGCTGGAGAAACTCAGCAGGTCTGGCAGCATCAGTGGGAAGAAATCGGGAGCTGAGCGACATTTCACAGAACCTCTGAGACCACTGTTCCCAAACCAGAACTGGTCATGGGCCTTGGACTGCCCAGGGCCTGACCTCAAAATATCCGAGCTGACCTCGCAGCAAAAGGAGGAAAGACGATGAAGCCGTTACAGCACTGAGAGATGTGTGAGAAGGTGTGCATGCAGCCAGTTCCACAGCACACAGCCATCTCCACACTGCCCAGGACTACTGAGCCCGGGCTCACAAGCTTAACACTGCTGCCTGTCTCGCCGAATTTTAAAATAGGAGAATAGTTTTTAATGCAGCAAGTTATTGAGTCTGAGAGTCTTACAGCACAGAAACAGACCAACTCATCCATGCCGACCAAGTTTCTCAAACGAAACTAATCCCATTTGCCTGCATTTGGCCCATAGGTTTCTAAACCTTTCCTATTCATGTACCTGTCCAAATGTCCTGTAAATATTGTAACTGTACCTGCCTCTACCACTTCCTCTGGCAGTTCACTCCACAGAGGTATCACCCACTGAGTGAAAAAGTTGCTCCTCAGGTCCTTTTTAAATCTTTCTCCTCTCATCTTAAAATTAAGCCATCCCAATCCTTTGCTATTCACCTTATCTAAAGCCCTCATTATTTTATAAACCTCTATAAGGTCACTCTTCAACATCCTACACTCCAGTGAACAAAGTTCCAGCCTATGCAACCTCTCCTTATAACTTAAACTCTCCAGTCCTAGTAACATCCTTGTAACCCTTTTCTGCACTGTCTCCAATTTAATAATATCCTTCCTACTGCAAGGTGACCAGAACTGTACACAGTGCTCCAAAAGTGGCCTCACCAACGTCCTGTACAACCGCAACACAACATCCCAACACCTATAATCAATGTTTTGACCAATGAAGGCAAGTGTGCTAACTGTCTTCTTTACCACTCTGTCTACCTGTAATGCAACTGTCAATGAGCTAGGCACCTGAACTCCTAGGTCTCTCTGTTCTACAACACTCCCCAGTGATCCTACCATTAAATGTATAAGTCCTGCCCTTGTTCATTTTACCAAAATGTTTACCTTGCATTATTTCCCACACCTAGACCCGTTGGCCCAATTGATCAAGATCTCTTTGTAATCTTATATAACTTTCCTCACTGTCTGCCATCAATTTTGGTCTCACCTGCAAACCTACTAGCCATGCTTCCTATATTCTTATCCTAATTGTTTATATAAATGACAAACAATGGACCCAGCACCAACCCCTGCGGAACATCGCTGCTCACAGGCCTCCAGTTGGAAAGACAATCCTCTACTACTCACATCCTGTCTCCTACCACCCAGCGAATTTTGTATCCAATTGACAAGCTCTTCCTGAATCCCATATGGTTTAACTTTACTAACCAATCAACCATGCGGAACCTTGTCAAAGGCCTTACTAAAGTCCATGTTGACAACATGTGCTGCTCTGCTGTCATCTATCTTCTTGGTCAGATCCTCAAAAACTTAAGCAAGTTCATGAGACACGATTTCCCATGCACAAAACCATGCTGATGATCCCCAATAAATCCTTGCCTCTCCAAATGCATGTAAATCCTGTTTCTCAGAATTCATTCCAACAACTAACCCACCACTAATGTCACCCCCATCTCCTACCTACTAACCTCATCCCGCCCCCTTGACCTGTCCGTCCTCCCTGGACTGACCTATCTCCTCCCTAACTCCCCACCTACACTCACCTTTACTGTCTCCATCCCCGCCTCTTCGACCTGTCTGTTTCCTCTCCACCTATCCTCTCCTCTATCCATATTCTATCCGCCTCCCCCCTCTCCCTATTTATTTCAGAACCCCTTTCCCCTCCCCCATTTCTGATGAAGGGTCTAGGCCCGAAACGTCAGCCTCTCTGCTCCTATGATGCTGCTTGGCCTGCTGTGTTCATCCAGCTCTGCACCTTGTTGTCACTAATGTCAGACTCACTGGTCTTTAGTAGCCAGGCTTCTCCTCACAGCCTTTCTTAAATACGGGCACAACATTAGCCAACTTCCAGTCTTTCAGGCACCTCACATGATCTGGAATGCAGATTCAAGTAATTCCCAGGAGAGGATTAATAAAATACTTGAAAAGGGAAAGCCCACAAGAATAAGACTGTAAGACCATAAGAAATAGGAACAGGCGTAAGCCATTTGGACCCCTGAGCCTGCTTCACCATTCAATAGGATCATGGCTGATCCTACATTCCTCACATCCACTTTCCTGCCCTTTTCTCTGTAACCCTTGATTCCCATTCTGATAAAGAATCTATCTATCTCAAACTTAGATATACACAAGGATTCTGCCCCCAAAGCTCTCTGTGGCAAGGTGTTCCAAAGACTCATAACCCTCCGAGGGAAGAAATTCCTCCCCATTTCAATCTTAAATTGGTGTCCCTTTATTCTGACTATATTTATTATGCCTTCTCGTCCTAGACTCCCCACATGAGGCGAAACATCCTCTCAGCATTTCCCCCGTGAAGCCCCTTCAGAATCCTGTATGTTTCCATGAGATCACCTTTCACTCTTCTAAATTTCAATGAATAGAGTTTCAACCAGTTCTTGTCTTTGTTCACAAGACAATCCCTTCATACCAGGCATTATCTTCGTGAACCTTCTTTTAACTGCTTTCAACAAAATTTTTCCTTAGTTAAGGGGATCAAAATTACTCACAGTACTGCAGATGTGGTATAACCTTGTATAGTTACAGCGAGACTTCCCTACTCTTATACACCAACCCCCCTTGAAATAAGGGCCATCATTCCATTAGCCTCCCTGATTCCCTGCTGCTCCTGTGTGCTAGCTTTCTGTGTTTTGTACACAAGTTCCCCCAAGGCCCTTTGCATGCTTTTTTTTATATTTATTCACAGAATATGGGCATCGCTGACTAGGTCATTGCCCATCCCTAATTACCCAGAGGGCAGTTAGGAGTCAACCACATTGCTGCGGGTCTGGAGTCACATGTATGTCGGACCTGGGAAGGACAGCAGTTTCCTTCCCTAAAGAACATGAGTTGCAGCCTTTCCCAGTTTTTCTCTATTTAAATAATGCTCTGTTATTTTGTTCTCCCTTCAACTTCACATTTTCCCACAATATACTCCATTTTGCAACATTTCCCACTTACTTAACCTATCCATATCTCTCTTTAAACTGTTTGTATCCTTCTCACAACTTGCCTTTCTGCCTACTTTTGTGTCATCTGCAAATTTGGCTGCAGTACATATGTTTCCTTCCTCCAAATCCTGAATATATATTGTAAACAGTTACAGTCTCCGTGGAACCCCACTGGTCACGGGTCACCAACCTGAAAAAGAACCCCTTTTCCCCATTTGATGTTTCCTGCCCATGAACAAACTCTCTATCCATGCCAATTTACTACCTCCAACACTGTGGATTCTTACTTTATGTCTTAACATTTTGTGAGGTACCTTGCCAAACGCCTTCAGGAAGTCCAAGCACAACACACCAACTAGTTCCCCTCTATCCACTTTGTTTGAGACTTCCTCAAAAAACTCTAATAAATTACTCAGACATGATTTCCCTTTCATGAAGCCACGCTGACTTGGTTAGATTGTGATTTTCCAAACATTCTGCTATTCATTCCTTAATAACTGACTCTAATGCTTACTTTGGAATTACAATGATAGTTACCAGTGCAGCCCAATGTGCAGCATTGAAGTGTAGAAACATCCTGGAAGTGGAATGGAGATGAACTATGAGTTCTCAGAGGCTGGCATATGTCAAAGCAGCCTTGTCCAGGTACCCCCTCTGAGTTCCTTGTTTAGATTTTTCAAATTTGAGCCCGTTTGGCTCATTTGGCAAGATGGAAATATCAATGAAATGAGTTCAGCCCTTAATAAGAAATTCAACAAGCAATTAACCCGTTTAAAATGCAGATCACCACTTCCTAGTGAGAAACTTGCTACATCATTCTTTAATTGCAAAAGACGGTACGAGATAGCTCCAATGTCGAGATAGGCCTCGCCGGACTCATCAGGCAACGCTGTCACAAATTTCACTATAGCCCATGTCATCTGGGCCTTTATAAGATTTCATCCATTGTTTCCTCTACTCCATTTTAGCAGAAAGATGGCTGTTTGGCTTCAAACATTGGTAAGAGCATTATGACAAGTGTGTGGCACAACTGGGGTAAAGAAATAAGGCAATGACACCATCATCTGGTTAAGATATGTAACTGCAACTTTAAATCCAATCAACTGATTGTGCAGTTCCATTTAACTGTGTACCCTAAATTAAAATAATTCAAAATCTACCATGATATCTCTGCTGTCCTGTTTCATGAATGGTAATAAATATTAATAATCCAGTGACCACAGTTGAACTCTGCCTTCTGTTTGATGTTTATTTTGTTATCCTTAAGACTGGAATCCCAAAATGTTTCACAGCCAATAAAGCATAAAAATGCAGTCACTGTTGTAATCTAGGAAACATAGAAGCAAATTTGTACATAGCAAGCTCCCACAAACAATAGCACAATAATGACCAGATTATGTTAATTGCTGTTGGTTGAGACACGTATATTTACCGGGGCACTGGTAAAACTCTCCTGCTGTTCTTCAGAATCTTTTTGCATCCACCTGAGAGGGCAGACAGGCTTTCAGTTTAATGTCTGTTCTGAGCATTACAGTACTTCCTTAGTGCTGCACCAAAGTGTCAGCATAGATTTTGTTCTGAAATCCC